ATATATATATATATATATGTCCACATGTTATATATATATGTATATATGTATATAGATATGCGTTTGGCGCAGGCGAGCAACACCTTCCTAGGCAAGTTTTGGAGGAGTTTGGCCGAAGTAGATAGTAGATGCGGGGAGCAGCCCTAGCATATATATATATATACATGTCTATGTATCTATATATATATATGTATATATATATACATGTATATATACATAGATGTATATTCACTTCTGCCCTAGTAGCCCCCACGTGAAGACTTTCAAGAAGCCGGCGACCTTGCTTTGGTAGGGCTGTGGCACTGTTAGTGAGAATGAATTTTATGGTTAACCGCTTGAACGTACATATTTAAGGTTGAAATCATGTGCCTCTAGTATAGGCCGTTAACCCTGGGATCCTTATTTACCTGCTTTGTACAAGGGTATAAGTCATCATCATTACTGAGATTATGAGATTACTGCTAGCCTTGTGTTTGCTACTCACGCCGAAGCAAGAGCATCCTTTCTGAAGGCTGGTATCTGCTACGTCAGATGTTGCCCAGGGAGCTCGCAGAGGCATGCCGCGGATGCAAGCGATGCAAGGACAACCTACGAATCCCAAGCCCTAAGTTGGGTTGACTTACGGATACATTGGGGTCTACGTTACTCAGGTAGATATGTATACGGAGAATCATGGACATCCAGGGATATGTGGGGAAAATCCACATATACAAGCAACTAGTATCCTAAGGTTTCTTACAACTACTTTTATAGATGGATCACACGTGTTTCGCAGTATTCCTGCATAGAGGACAACAAGAGGTGCATCTTCGATGCCCCAGATGCTAGAACATGGTTGAGCAACGTTTTCTGCTTGCGTGAATGCTGGAGCCCAGTGAGGAATAAGGTTGGTTGTGATTCAAGGATGTCTCCCACACCCTAAACCCCAAGCCTAACATGTCTCACAACAGTCATAATAAGATTACCGAAATGATAACACTGAGATGAGACAGAATATCAACTGTGACAGTGGCCCAGGACAACATTGTGCCCATGATTCTCGAGGCGCCACTTTGGAAGGGGAACACGATCAAAGTCGCCACCGAGCTGCCGGAACTCGATGAGCCCGAAACCGATATCCACGAAGCCAACCAGAGGCTCAGCCTAAGCCCTAGGCCAAACTCTAAACCCTCCTTCTAAAGCACGTTGAGCCCGAAAACCCTAAGTGCGTAGCTTCTCTCCTTGAACAGGCTTTGTGCCGCGCAAGTTGCAAACGCGCGACCTCAATCCATAACCCTGAAAAACGAACCTAAGAGTGTTGCAAATCAATATACCTCCCCCACCTAGAGGTTCAGTGCACTTGACAACCTAGGTGGAGCTGTGCTTGTCGCCCAACTCTAAGCCCCCAAGTCCTCTGGTAGGGTTCGGGGTTTGGGGTTTAGGGGTTCGGGATTCGCGGTATAGTCACAGTCAGAACTGTGTTAATGTTACCCTCGGACCTCCAAGTATGAGCCCCCGAAACCTTAAACCTTGAAGCCAAGCTAAAAAATGTGGGGAAGCGAAAAATACACAAACGCACACAATCCGGTCAAGACTCCCTATCTGAACCCAAAGCAATTTCAGCTGCATAAGCTCCAAAGCACGAAACACTAACCCCAGACCCTAGACCCTAAACCCTACGTAAGCCATTTGGAGGCTGAAAGAGTCAAAGCAGCGCTTCTGGGAAAAGAGGAAGGGCAGCGGCAAGGATTGGATTTTCAAGAAACGGGTCCCCCTTATCGGGGGTTTAGGGTTTAGGGGGTTCGGGGCTACTATGGGCCCCGCGCGACATACAGGGCTACCCTGGGTTCTAGAGGGTTATACAGGGATATATATAGGCTACCTTCAAAGGGGATGTAAGGGGAGATGAAGTAGAGGTTTCATACCTTCAAATGTTCAGCAGTGGCACGTCTGGATGATCATTAACTTCCCCTGTTCTTGAACAAGGGCATCTGTTCATGCTAGTGCAATCCCCAAAAGCGTTACCCTCGTAGAATCCCACATGGCGACCCCCATAATGCTACTTGTACTCCTCATATAATGGTTTCCCTAAACAAGGGGACCCCAATCTAGACTATAGTCCTTATTATGGGGACCTCCAATAAGGTACCCCTAGTTTTGGGAAACTCAAATCACTATAATCCCCTATATAATCCCAGTTTCCATTTCATTTTCCATTCTATTTTCCATTTGATTCTCCATTATAGTAGGTATGTAACCCCTAATTTTGGGAAACCCTAAACCCTAAACCCCTGTTTCGAGAAGACTACAGGATGGACGAAGCGATGGAAGAGGTCGTGGGCGAGGTGAGGGCAAAGGAGGCAAAGGAGGCAAAGGTGGCAAAGGCGACGGCCGCGGAGGACGTGGTAGAGCCCAAGGGGGCCGCGGCGGATCTCGCGGGAGAGGGCATTAGTCCAGCCACCTGGATTACTTTGCACTTCAGGGGAGTTAGGCCGTTAAGGCCCGCAATCCGACGTGCGCACGTCTTGTCTCACGTTCTCTACTTCTTTAGAGGTTGTTTGTGCAGCACCTAAGCCGCATGGTCTCAGACTGTTATACAGCGTCGACCTTGTGCATGCTGCAACCGAAAGCAGTCACATTTTGCGTTCGTCGGCAAAATGCTACCACTGCGTGCTGTGAGCTTTCTTCTGCTTTCTTGGGCTAGGTTTAAAGGACGTCTAGGTTTATTGGTGTCATGAATACTACGACTGTGATTCCTACTGTTATTTCCGCATTGTTTCGTTCAATCCTCTGCAACTGCTACATATACATCAAAGAAAAATACGTCCAAGCGCTGGGTCCCTATGCGACCTTTGCCCTTTGCCAGGTAAGCCAGAATCTAAACTCCTGGAAAGGGGTTTTAAAGGGGATTATAGGGGATTATATAGGGGACTATGACACTGGCTACTGAGGGGGATACTAGGAGTTCAGACTATCGCTCATGTGGGTAGCTTCCAACATTAGATGTGCATGTTTGCCCGGCTGTCCACAAATTTGGAACTAGCTCACACTCAGAGCAGTCCTAGCGCAATGATCTTCAACCAGGATCAATTGCACTGACTAGATTCGGAAAGTATGCCATAAAGCACCCGCCCGGAATGATACTGACACGGTACAGGGTTTATAGCATTTAGGTTAATAGAAGGACACATGAGAATGATAGTGTTTGAAGTAACGACGACATCCAAGCAACTACCTTCCAGAGTGTCTTCTTGTCTCTGCCCTTGGGCCTTAACCTTTGGGCCCTGAATCCCAATTTCTAGACCCTAATCCCAAACAGCCTAGAATTAGGGATAATATATCAAAGTAGAACTACAGAAGGCTAATGCTAGCACGTGAACTGGTTTTGACAATCCTACAAAATCTCCCCTAAAACATCCCTAAGCCCTAGCCCCTGACAATCCCTATAGAATCCCTACTTACCGCCCTAAACCCTAAACCCCGAAACCCTAAACCCTAAACCCTAAGCGTGTGCAGGTTCACAAAGCCCTTTTGGGAGACCCAGCGCTGTTCAGCCAACTTCGCGGTCCGAGAAGTTGATCCAGGTGTTTTGGGTTCAGGGTTTAGGGTTTGGGCGTTTAGGGTTTAGGGTTTAGGGCTTAGGGTTTAGGGTGTCCATCAGCGGACGCGCGCAGGGCGTGCGCCTTTTCTTTAGAGTTGGGGGCGCGCACCCTATTGCGCGCTTGCGCAGCTTAGTAGTCCCACCCCAGAACCTATGCTCATTTAGCCCCCCAAACCCCCCTAGCAAGGGGGGTCTCCTTGGTCATTTTCTTTGCCCGGTCTGCTGTAAAGCTTGGAAGGCTGGGGGGTCCTGCACCCTGGCAGACCTGAGAGGCGTGGGGGTGCTACAAAGATCTGTAGAGAAAAAGGGCTCTAGGCATTGGAGCGGGCCGAAACACCTGGACACTGGCCTTGGAGGTGGGAATTTGGTCAGAAAAGGCTGGCCTTTATGGCCCCTGACCTTAGGGTTTAGGGAACCCTAAACCCTAAACCCCAAAACCCAAACCCTAAACCCTAAACCCCAAACCCCAAACCCTAAACCCTAAACCCCAAACCCTAAACCAGGAAACCACCTTTTGGGAGGCCCCTCTGCAGGCATTCTCATATGGGGGTTATATAGGGGTTATTTAGGGGTTATATCGGGGTTATATAGGGGCTATATAAGGGTTAGGCTGGGGTTGGGTCCTTCTCTTTGAGCTACGCTCTATAGTAGACAGCGCTGGGGGATTAGAGGTTCAGAGGGGGCTTTGGAGGTCAGACGGATTTCCGGTTGGGGTGTTCAGATTTAGGTTTTTGTGGAAGGGTTCAGGGGTCAGGGGTACTGACGCCGGTTGACAAACGTATTTAAAAGCCAGTTGTAATCCCACTAGAAAACTTAGGGGGCTCAGAACTGCATAATAAGCACACGAATGGGTAGGGTACAAGTACAAAAGAACCTCTAAATTGGGTTCAGGGTTTAGCATCCAATCAGCTAGCCTTGTATGTGTCGGGAATATGTTCAGGCTTTGGGGTGTATGAGCTACTCTCAATGTTTGGGTTACCAAGGGATCATTAAGGGCGGACATACGGGCCCCGTCCGTAGTTTAGTATACTAAGTCCCTAATATATTCCCTATCAGGAACCCATGTCCATTAAGTACATGGGAAATGTTGACTGTAGCTCATCTGTGTTCATTATGTGGGGTTTGTTTTGGGTTGTATGGAGTTTAATTTTCAGATCCCAGCGGGTTCCTGGCCACTGCCGTACGTACTTGAACTGTTTAGGGAGTTTGGGGCATAGGGTTGAGCTTGGGTTCAAGAGGTTTCAAGGCTTAGGGTGTGGAGGTTTCGTGCGTGAGTGTTGCGGGTTCGGGGCTCATGCCCACCCTGGAAGGGATCCAAAACAGGAGGACCTTTGAGGGGGTTTGTGTCGTGGGCCCTCGCAGGTGTCCCGGCAGATGATTACGTAGGATGTGAATGCGAATTTTAGACGGTGAGGAGCGGGGGAGTGGTCGGCAGGTGGAAGTAAAGGCCTGAATATGGATCCCCACCTTACTTCGGGAGAATTCCTGTACCATCGTGATCGCTAGTTAATGGCAACCATGATATGCGACGGTTTTGATTTTACTCTATGTCCCTAGAAGATTGCTAGGCTGAGGTCTCTCAAACCCTTGGCTTTTGATTGGGGGTCTGTTCAGAAACATCCCTTTTTCTCAACAATTCTTACCAATCCCTCTCCCTAAAACCCTGAAACCCTAAACAGTAGCTTCCATTTTCTTTTCCGTTATCCTTACTACTCACTACTCTATATAACGCTATATTACCTTATATAATCCCTATACATCCCTATACATACCCTATATTACCATATACTCTCCACTATCCTTACCTCCCAGTTGCCAGGAGCTGGAGAACGAGGAAACCGACCTCCAGCAGGAAATCTTGGCCCGTGGGTGCCGATCAAACGATCCTGAGGAGCTGTGATTCCTTGGATGTTCAAAGTTTGTGTTCCTCATTTTGACGTTTAGGGGTTGTAGGGGACGTTTATGCGGTTTTCGGTGCTTCAGTGTTTTTACGGGTTGCGTGTTGTGGATTGCTTTAGTTGTGGTTCGAGCAGCAAGATGATCTACAGATGCATGCCAAAGGGTTTTGAGGACCTAGTTCGTTGTCAATGCTTTACATTCTTTTTGATATATCTTTTGTGTATCATTCTTCACATGTTATGATTACCTGCAGTGCGGTCTCGGCAACTACTGCCTTTTGCTCTCACCAGGATAGGTATCTCAATGCTTCTGCTTCAAGACCACTTGTGTCGTCGACTTTGCGCGTGCAGCCTCATATTTTGCTAGACTGAGTAGTTCCCGAAGTGCCATGGATGTAGCCTGACACGAGCACCTTTTCAATGTGTTGCGAACTGGCAGGACAGAGGGTACGAACCTTCGACCGTACCCAGAGGGTGCAGCTGCATTCAGCGTGGCAGCATGTGGGGTGTTCTGCGTTTCAGAGAGAACAGCTCCTGCTTACTGCGCACCCGCAGCATTTTGAACGCCTCAGCACGGGGATTCTTGCAAGGACTGCAAACAAGGAACTGTCACAGAAGTTGTTTGAAGCTTATTTTGGGCCCATGTCAAGACCAAGTCAGCCATAGGCCCAGGCAAAGTCCCAGAGCCGAGGAAGCGAGGCCGGGCTACCGGCAGAATCCCAAAGGCTTGTGGTCTCCACGTGGGAATTTCAAATTCAGGGGGCCAATATCAGCCCCAATATACGAGTAATCCTGCCTATAGAAAACCCAAAGGGCGCCTAGCTTTGCAAAACTTCCATGTTATGACGCTGCTCTGAACAGCCATGGCTGTCTCTCTATCGATTGACACCCTCAAATGGCACTGCCCGCCCTGGGGTGGACTGGTCCATGGTCCTTCCTACGATCGACAGGCAAGCCAAGTGGAGCTAGTGACCGGCAGGGATTAGGGTATAGGATCTTGGGGTATTTCCCCAGCAATGGAGAATCACATGCAAAAGAACTTGAAAAATGAATGAAACTGAATAGTGATTTGAAGGGGTTAGGGCTTCCCAAAAACAGCGTCCTTTTTTGGAGGTTCCTATTGTAAGGACTATAGTTTATTGGGGTCTACATTTGGGTTCCTGAATTTTTGGGAACACCAAGAGAAGCCAGTGACCAAAAAACATGTTGGGGGTATGCCAGCGGGCTTCGCCATATGCACAGGCAGTTACCCCGGGTATCGTCCACCTTGGCTTGACTGAGTATCACAGAGCTCATCAAGCCCATTTCATCGATGAGATTTTGTCATCTGGACAGGCCAGGTTCTTTTGCAAAGCTGTGCGAGTAGTGCCTGGAGAGCATTTCTTTTTTTAGGGTTTAGGGTCTAGGGTTTATTTTAGGGTTTAGGATTTAGGGAAGCCTCGAGCCCTGCTAGGTGGACTCCCTGACCTGGGGCATCTCAGGCGTGTGCCTCTCCAAGGATGAATTCCTGCAGCGCGCGCAGCTTGCTATGAACCCGGGATGGGTGCTGTAGCTTTCACCTTAATATGAGCTATAGTCTAAACTCCTTAAAAAGGGGTTATGTAGGGGATTATATAGGGGAATCTTATAGGGGTTATGAAGGGGATGCTAGGCTCATATGCAGGACCGAATGGAAAAGAACATGAACAGTGAAGGAAAGCTGGGATTGTATTCGTACAATGTTTAGCGAAAGAATTACCCTAAACCCCAAACCCGAAATACCCTAAACCCTAAACCCAATTACCGATATTTTGGTCCCAGATTCCTTGTATGGTTTTGGGTGCCTCAAAATTTCCCTCCATGTGATATTAGTAACGATTTGGGTCCCCTTGTATTTCATTTCCCCATGTTCCCCAGGGTTTCTCGAGAAGCTTAAGGGACCCCAGGACACATGATTCTGAGGCGACTCCATATGGATTAATTACATACAAATCGCCTTGGGAAACTCGCAGGAGTTTTAGGGATTAGTTGACATTCGGGGACCCTGAGGCTTAGGATTTAGGGCCCAGGGTCATGGGTTTGGGGCGCATTAGGTTTAAGTCTTCTAGTCGAGTGTGGGCCGATAGAGGCTGATACTACCTCGGCGTTATAAGTTGGGTCCCCCCCTCAGTAACAGTTGGATAATAAGTACAATATGGTTATATATATATATCGCCCTTAATAGGACCCGTAATATGGACTCTTACTGGGTGGGGGCAGTACCCAAGTTATAAGTTATACGGGCCTTTGCCACGTGTAGGCTCCAGGATTTCGGGTTTGGGGTCTAGCACCTTGTCAGATAGGGAAATCACTGGCAAAACTTGAGAACGTTGGTTGTAATCCCAGATAATCCGAGTAATAAAGTAGCTTGAGCGCATAGTCGGAATGGTGGGCATCAAATGGTGAACTGCAGCATTGCTGCGGCTGGCTTTCTGAGGACTGAAGCTCACAGCATTTTCATGGCAAGCTAAACACACGACGAAACACGAGCGTAACCAATAAGAATCAACTACAAGATACGTTGGTTAATCAACCAAAAACTCCTTGAAGGTTCTTTTACTTGATTAGTGAGGTGACATTAGCTTGTTCTCAACTGACACTATAACCAAAAGGGTAACATAACTCAACCATTGCTAGATGATTACGACGCCTTCTAACACGACCTACAGGTGCTTAAGGGAGAGTGGGGGCAATGATTCACCTTCCCTACACTAACCACCGTTTTGGCTTCCCCCGAAAACAAGCCTACTTCGGGCAAATTACATGTAAGGATAATTAAGGGGGAACCCTTGCGAAAATAGTGTTAGGGTACAAAACCATACGGCTTGTAGTGGTGAGCAGTATCCTTCTTAAGTCTCCAAGGTGTCCAAGTAGGCCCTAAACCCTAAACTCCAAACCGTGGGGACTGACCCTACGCGCGAAGCCCTAAACTCTAAAGTCTAAACCCTAAACCTTATAGCTCTAATATAACCCTAACATAACCCCAATATAACCCCAATATAGCCCTGATATAACCCCAATATTGAACTACGGACTCCGAAATCTAAGGATGGAAGAGCAGGGTGGCATGTATGTCCTCTGCACGAAAAACTCGGAGGACCTTCAGTACTAAAGGTTTAGGGTTTAGGGTTTAGGGTTTACCCGCTCCCCCAACTTTTAAAACCCCCACCCGCCTAACAATGAATTTCCCCTTGTGGCTTGTAGTGTTAGGGCGGTGGGGGTTTTAATATTAGGGGACGGGATTACCTCTGTACTTTCTGGTACACTTGCCTTCTCCCGCATGAACATGAACCTCCACGTTGTAGAAAAACCTAAGCCCTAAACCCTAAAACCCAAAGCCCTAAACCCTAAAGCAAAAAGCCAGTTCAATATGGGTTTCATGATAATCTGGAGGAGGCAACCCTTAAGCCTAAATACGCAACATTCAATCCCAAACCTTAGGCCCTAAATTGTAAACCTTCAGCAACTATATACTAGGATCCCTGTTATGATCCCTATTAAGGGGAGGAGGGTTATTAATTAGGTGTCTAAATTACATTGAAGCTTCCTTCAGCTAGCTAAGCCTGAAACCCTAAAGCTTAGCGTGTTTGAGGTTTAGGAATCATTCCAGTTCCTGGGGGTGCAACTTGATGGAGCTAGCGTGGATCTAGCTGGTCCTCTCGGATTGAGTCTCTGGGACCGGGCGCCTAGACAGAAGCCTGCTGCAAAAGGGTTTGGACCTTCAAGCCCTGAAAACCCTAAACCCTAAACCCTTAGTAGCTGGGTAGGTAACCTTTAACTTTTTGGGGTATATATAGTCATATTATAATACAAAGGTTAACCTTTTGGGGGCCAGGGAACTCAGCAACTAGGAACCTTACATCCCAAGCCCTAAACCCAAAACCATCCTCAAGGTTCCGATGTTAGGGTTCAGGTTTAGCACAGGGCGGTCTTCGACAGACCGGGCAGCATCCAAGCGAATTGAGGCCTGCCATGATGACCCTGTTGCCCAGGGAACCTGTGAATGTGTTGAAAGAATACACTTTCAATCATGTTAGACTGGGGGTATAGACAGCATGTAGGCTTGCACAGGCCTGTTATCTAGATTGGTCTATGTGGTATATAGGGATGTAAAGGGATATGTATGGTTCAGGTTCATAGTCTAGGGCTTGTCTTTCCTAAATGCGCACAAGCGGACGGGGTGGGGGGGCAGGACCCCGTGACCCGCATCATTGGTGCTTACTGTGAGTATTTATCAGCACCAGCGCAGCCGGACGCGGTTCTGGAAAGGCATCTTGCCTGCAATTCATGGCTATGTTAGGAAATGATGTTTTTTGCCGTGTTTTCTGCCTCCCTGCCATGTGTGACTCTGTCTGAAATGCATGCGTTTAAAAAACACGCAGAGCCCAAAGCACTGCGTGGGACATGGATTCTGTCTCTGATAATCATGACGCGCCGAAAAAACATGGAAAATCCTGACGGCAAATTTTCCCCCGTTTTCAAGTAAGCCCCATTCCGAAGTACTGCGTTTTGCACTAATTTTCCTACATCTGGATTTACGGACAACCAGAATAGTGGGTCGTCAAATTATAAACAAAGCGCGCGTACGACGACGACGACGACGACGACGACGACGACGACGACGACGACGACGACGACGACGACGACGACTACTACGACTACGATTACGACTACGACTACGACTACGACTACGACGACGACTACGACGACGACTACGACGACGACTACGACTACTACCACTACCGTTTTTCTTCACTTCACCATCCTTTTGTAGTGTGTTTAGCCGCGTTTGCAGAGCAGTCGCTGAGCGGCACTTCGTTGATTTGGGGAGCTTGCATCTTGTTTTTGAATGTTTTGAATATGGGCCTTTTTGGGGGGGATATTTACGTCCATGTCCATGACGATTTAAGGCATAGCACAAGCTCTGATGCCAAACGTTACGCACTCTTACAAACCCCATTCCCCAACATATGTTTTGACAAGTCTCATAGACCAGAGGATTCTGAGGATCTAGCGAAGAGGCCCATTAATTCTTACAGCCTCGTGACATTCAGAAGAGTTTGAAGGCTATCGTGACTTTAAGCACAACAAGCTCCAAAGAAAAACGTGACACACCCTTACAAACCCGGCTCCTGACAGTTTTACGGGTAGCAAAGGGGCCCAACAATACTTGACATAGACTATTCAGGATTCGGGGGATGGCAAACGGCCCCAAAGATACTTGACCTACACTATTGAGGATTTGCAAGATAGCAAAAGGGCCCCATAATACTGGACTTACACTATTTGGAGTTCGGAGGATAGCAAAGGTTCGCAGTAATACTTGACCTACACTATTTAGGATTTGACGAGTCGCAACCCATAAATCCGTGACCTACACTATTCAGGATTTGGAGGATAGCCAGGGGGCCCAATAACACTTGACCAGCACTATTGAAGAACTTTGAGGATAGCAAAAGGGCCCAATAATCCTGGACCCACACTATTCGGGTTTGGAGGATAGCAAAGGGGCCCAACAATACTTGACCTACACCATTGAGGATGTTAAGGGTAGCAGAGGGGCCCATGAAATTTTCATCTACACTATTCATTAGGAGAACCCCCCACCCTGTAATAGTGGTATAGTAGGAATATAGTAGGACCCTAATATAATCCCTATTATCCCGTATAGTCACTATTACTGGGTGGGTGGTCCACCTAAAGGATAGCAAAGGCGCCCAGGCACAACCAGCTCCGAAGGCTTCGCGTCGAGACATGAGCTATAGTCTAAACTCCTTAAAGGGGGGTTATATAGGGAATTGTATAGGGGAGTACTATAGGGGTGATTAAGGGGGATACTAGGAGTTTAGACTATAGCTCACATGGGTTTCAGATTGTGTGGCCGGCGCAGGACTTTCAGTACTGTGCCCCCCACACAATCTGCACAAGTGCACTTGTTTGCCCTGGCCCCTAACAGACACACTGTGGCGAGACATGGCGAAACGATTTGTCACTGAAGCCGAAAATGCAAGTAGGTGGCCGCTCCCCCAATTTTGACTTCTCAACATGTACATTTTTTTCGAAACAGTGCTGAAAGTCCTGTGCTGGCCACACAATTTCAAACACACGTCTGGAAGCTACGCGCAAAAACAATAGCGTCAAACAAACGACGTCGACCTCCTCCTCCACCACCACCAACAACTACTACTGCTGCTGCTGCTGCTGCTGCTACTGCTGCCGCTGGCGCCGCCGGTGCCGCTGCCGCTGCCGCTGCTGGTGCTCCTGTTGCTGCTACTTCTTCTACCATTACCTTTAGCAGTAATAAGAGCATTGATTGTTGTGCAATAGGGCTAGTAGTGGATTTCTTTAACAGTTGAAGGATTGGGTTTAGACCGTGAACCCAAAATTCCTTAAACCCTAAAGGGGGTTAAGAGCGCCAGCCAGGTTTACCCTTCAATGCCCGAAATGTCCCTAGGTCTTCTCCAAACCCAAATCTTGGGTACTGCCCCCACCCAGTAACAGTTGGATAAAACATTACAGTACGAATATATATATATATGTATATACATATACAAAGCCCTTAATATGCCACTATTCTAGACTGTTACTTGGTGGGGGCAGTGCCCAAGTCACACCCTAAACTGAAGAAAGCAGGTTGCAGGCCGACAGTACCAAGATCATCAGCCTCTGCCTGAACCTGGACGAGTTTTAAGGCTTTAAGGTTGGGGGTTTAGGGTTTAGGGTTTAGGGTTTAAGGTTTGGGGTTTACGGTTCTGGGTTTAGGGCTCAGGCCTTCTCTTGACTACTGATAGGTGTCATCTGAAGATAAGAACAAGTTTCATTATGACCTCAGCCAGCAAATTGAAATCTCGAAGAAAATTCTGTAATTCTTCGGGGTCGCACAGCAAGCAAGAATAGGAGGACTTCAGCAACCCCAACCCCTAAAGTAGGGACACTGTTGCAGTTGTATGGTATTTAGAGCGTCCTTGTCGTTGGGGTCGGGAGAACTAAAATCCTTTGATTTTTTCAAGGAGTGAGCACGATCCGCTCGATGATGCGGGCTTGGATGAGTCTTCGCAAGACGTCCAGTCGGATCTGGAGGCACTACGGAGAAACTCGGCTGGCTTTAGGGTTTAGGGTTTAGGGTTTTTAAGCCAGCAACAATGCCCGTAGCAAAGCAAATTTAATGGTGTCTGCAGTCAGATGCTACAAAGCATGCGACAAACCCCCCTACAAAGAGTACAAACGCTAAACCCTGAACCGCTACATCCTAGAGCGTGTTTTTTCTGCCTGCAGCAAAGTCTACAGGCATCGTGGAGTGCACTGACTCTGCATTGCTGTCATCGATTCGGCCTCTCAAGACGGCTGCAGCGTACCTTTGGGCATGTTGAATACCGAAGACATTTGTGGCTATAACCATCTAGGCCATCTGGGCAACAATTGCAATCTCGATTTTATGTTGAACTTAGTTTAGGCCGGACATAAAGTAGAATTTGTACCTATTGACTGTACCTTAACCTGGGTTGTTAATAAGGATTGACTTCAATTCCAATAATAGGATAGGGATATATATATATATGCTACCCCCCCCCACGTACCTACCTTTTGTGGCCTTCATAAGGGGATTTCTTGTCCAATCCAAAGATAATCACTAATAAGGCTCTAGTTTGAGATAGTCCCTAACAAGACCGGCCCTAATTTGAAATAATCCCTAATAAGGCCCTATATTTGAATTATCTCTAATAAGGCTTTAATTTGCGATGGCCCCTAATAAAGCCCTAATTCAAAATTTGAATTTTCCCTAATCCGTAATTTGGACAATAGTCCCTAATAAGCCCTTAATTTGAAATAATTCCTATCA